TGCTGCATTGCTGAATTAGTTAGATGCTTTCTTTTTCTTTGTTGATTTTTTTCCTATTAAATTTAATATGGCAAACCAAAGAACTCTTATAGAACTTACTGCTTATGATAGAATTACAATGCTTTATGTATTGAATATATTGTTGTTGTTCCTTTCGAATTAAAATCTGGTTTATTACACTTGTTATCAAGATTTAATGGTTTTGCAGGTGAGGATCCGCATAAGCATCTTAAGGAATTTTAGGTTGTGTGCTCTACACCTTTCGAACCTTCACTAGAGGACCTTGTCAAGCAAACAACTATAAATAATCTCCAGTCTCAACAACGAATATATTCTAATTTTCAGACTTTGCAGACACAAATTAAACAGCTTACCACTTCAATGAATGTCATGGAGCAAGCTCAAGAATCAAACCAACTACTTACCCAAATAGTAGTGAATCTAAAAGAGTTAATTTCTAATTTAGTTGATGATACTTATTATGAATTGTTGTCTGATTTTCCATCATTAGCAGATTTTGATAATACTTACTCTTGTGATTCATGTACCGGCACTAACATTTGTTATATTTGTGTTGAGATTAATGATGTCTTACAGTGTGATGTGTTTCATTATGTCGTTTATGCAGTTGAAGCTCTTGATATCTCGACTACCTCGACCATGCCTTCCATTGAACAACCTTCTTCCTTAGAGTTTAAACCACTTCTTGACAATCTAAAATATGCCTATTTAGAGAGGAATGAAAAACTACTTGCTATAATTTCTTCTGATCTTGATTTTGATAAAGAAAATAAGCTTTTACAGGTTTTGAACAACCTCCTTCCTTAGAGCTTAAACCACTTTCGGACAATCTAAAATATGCCTATTTAGAGAGGAATGAAAAGCTACCTGTTATAATTTCTTCTGAACTTGATTTCGATCAAGAAAATAAGCTTTTACAGGTTTTGAAAAAATATAAGAAAGGAATTAGATGGACCTCGATTAAAGATGGAAGAAAATTAGTGAGGCAACCCCTTAATCCTTTAATTTCTAATGTTGTGAAAAAGATATCACATTCACGTGCCCATTCAACACTTTTACTTATCGAAGATCCTTCTTTGATCTTGGAATAAAAGGCGAAGGCACTAATAAATATTTCAAGGTCAATGGGTGCTACCCAAATTTACTTTATGACATCTCCACTTTGGAAGAGGAGCTTGTAGAAGATCTCTCTTTGAAAAAGGCTGCTTATGTGATCACCTATCCACCTTGACTACTCGGATATGTTTTTTTCTTTCTCTCGCTCTTATTTAATAGTTATGTCATTTCATTGAGGACAATGCATGTTTTAAATGTGGGGGAGGGAACCATTTCTTTATTTTGTTTTCAATTTCTCTGTTTTGGTTTTATTCTTAAATAAAATAAAATAGAAAGTTGCATGTTTTTTTCTTTAGTTTTTGAGTTACAAGTATAAGTTTTGTTCCTAGTTCTCTTGAATAGATCTTTGTGATGTGATGTGAAAAATTTGTTGTGCATTTTTAGTAAGATAAGTAAGAGTAAACTCCTAATTGTACATTATTAATAGTAGATCATTAACCCTTGTGAGTTTTGAGCCTTATATGGATAACATACAAAAATTCATCTCTTTCTTTCTTGTGTGATTGTGTCTGTTAGTCTCTAGAACTTGAATTGACTCTTGTTGATGCTTTGTGTTTGCTTGTGCACACTATATGATCAAGACAACTTGTTTTTATTTTAATTTTATTCACTTAGCCAAAAAAAAGTCAACCCTGATCAATATCATCCCTTTGTTTGAAAATCCCTTTGAGCCTATTTATCTTTCTTTTATGGTTAACTCGTTACAAGCCAAAAAGTGAAAAACAAAATCATCACTCTAATCAAGGGTTGAAAGAGTCTTGTATGAAGTTGTGTGGAATTTGAACTTCATTTTTGGTGATGTTGTTGTGATGTTCCAAATGTTGGGAGAAAAAGAAAAGAAAAAAAAAGAATAAAAGGAAAAAGAGAAGAGAAATAAGTTGTGAGGTTGTTGTTTGAAAGCAATTGATGTATCATGTAGTTCAATTTCCGCAATCCTTTTAATTTTCTTTTAACCCTTTGATTTTTAGCCTAGTACCCCCTTAGGATTTATCTCACCCTTACCTTGGCCAAGTTACAACTGAACAAAAGTCCTTTTGATCTGTATGTACATACATATATTTAAATTGCAAATGTTAGAGTATTTTCAAGCTTATAGTAATACTAAATTTCATGTTGTGCTTAAGTATAAACAGTTAACCTAAACACTTGAGAGTTGAGTGAATTATCCTGTGAGGATCTTGATGTTTTTGATGTACTTTTTGGTAATCTATATCTCCTATTTGCTCTGAATGTCATAAAGAGTTGCTCACTAACATCATATTCATGAAGCTTAGACTTAGAAATCTACTTTTATCTTATATCTTGAATACTTTTGGAAATGCATGCTCTGTTTTATTTTGTTTTGAATTTTTGAAATTATCATTTTGCTCGGAGTGCAAAAGTTCAAGTGTAGGGGGAATTTGATCAGTGCGTTTTAATGCACATCCTATTATGTTTGTATTTAGGAATTTCCTTAGCTTGTTTTGTTTATTTTACTGTTTTATTATGTTTTTAAAATTAAGTCTTTGTTTGTCTTTAATCTATTTTCGAAGCTTATTTTCAGCTTTAGCGGTTATTTGATATATATTCACTATTTGGATCATAACTGGAGTTACGAGAATCAGATTGACGCGTTCTAATAGGCGTTAGAAAGATAAGACAAAGAGCTACAACTTTCATGTTGTGGGAAGAAATTGATTCGGAGTGTAGCAGGCTCGAGTAATTCGTTAAAGTCGGGACCCGAATTCTGCCTTACGAAATATTTAGTTTTGGGTCGGGTTTTTTTTTATGTTTTTCGACCCAGTTGGATTAGAACCGAAATTTGTGATGCTTTCTTACGCCTAGCAGCCGCGCACTGTTCATTCTTTATCTTCTTTTCACGATTTTTCTTTTGTTTTGTACGATTGAAATGAAGAACTAATTCCTGAAGGCAAATCCTACTACTTATGGGTTCCATCGCTTTGAGGTTAATACCAATTTAAATTCGATTCCTTTCAATCCTTTTCTATGAAGTCATTTGCTTAATTTGATTGCAATTGTTTACTTAATTCGATTGTTGTTCATAAGATATAATTGATTAAATTCGATTGTATGCATGTTTCTAATTGATCTCATATTTTTAACCGTTTGCTTAATTTGGTAAACAGAAACATAACTCATTTGATTTTGATAAGAGCTTGTTTAATTGATCTCATAATTGAATAAGACCGAAGCCCGTTAGGAATTGGTGTTATAATAGCCGATGATAAGTCGGAATCCGAATCAATAGGATTAATCGTTTTAGCTTAATTAATAATCACTTATTTTATTCACTTTTTCTCTTATTTTATAAATCAAAACTTAAAACCCCCCATAAAATTTTTCTTTAGTTAGTTGAAATAATATAAGAATCTTTGCGATACAACATCTGAGTGTCGCTTCCTTCTACTACTTTTTAAAAAATACTCGTTTTTAATCTATGCGCGACCGACATTATGCTTAGCTTTTCACTCTTTTCTAGGTTTAACCCTTGCATGATTGGCCATAGGTGGAGGTGAATGTTTTGGATAACCATACAATTTATAATGAAATGGTTTTACGTGACCATATTATCCACAATAATGACATTTCCAATGTTAGAACTTGCCTCTGGTATGAGTTTTTTGAGGTTCGATAGAATGTTGTAACATTTAATCAAATATTATGGGCTCACCATTTACTTCAGCAAAAACAAACTTTGTCACAAGATTTTTTCTCTAATTATTTAAAAATTGATAATTAAACCATATACTAGTAAATATTTTACCTTCTTTTCTAACTTGAAGAATAATCCAAAAACGCGAGGTCCCAGTGTGCTACTGCAGTTCCAAACACACACTTAAACATTCGTCCACATCTTAACAAAAATACTATGAACAAATAAAACCAATTCTTTCTTATTTAAATGATAAACATTTAAAACAATACAATTAGCCTTCTTAATTCTCTTGACTTACCAACAAGATCTATATTAACGGATGGATGTAGTATTAATGAGTAATTAATTATAATAATTACTAACTACTTATCTTCAACCACTTGATATATTTATTCTACGAAAATGTTCCATTTAGTCTATAAAATTAGGTGAGAATTAACAATAAGCAAGAACAAAGAAACTACTAGTGGTCCAAACCATTGGTGGAGCCTAGTGCCTAAGTATGTATAACTTCCAAGACTTTGGTACGTGTCAAATCTGTATTCTACCAAAATTTATTATCAACTTAATTACAAAAATCTAACGTCATGCATTCACAGGGTCCAAACTTCATTTATGAGCTTTAAACCATTAAAAGTTAAAGATTCATTTTCAATTTTTTTTTTTTAATTATAGAATAAATACAATACCTATGAATTTATGACCATTATATTATTACCCCTATAAATATTTTTTTATATAAGTGAAATTACCAAATTAAGATACCAAAATTTGTCTACTACTATTCCATGCATTAAATGCTACCATTACTTACATGCCACCCCTTTTTTGAATTCTCTTCCCACTCCTATCCACTACCCTATTAAATAAATACCCATCGACAATAAATGAAACATTTAATTAAATTATTAAATTATTATTAATTTTAAATTTCAAAATCACGACTAGTATTAATTTTAATAAGCCATTAAAATAACTAAATTTATTAGAATTTAATTAATTAAATTTAATAACATACTCCATCTTTTTTTTCTTCTGTGCATTAATTTTTACTATAACGTACCATCTATCTTTATTGGCATATATAAATCTCTCACAGTCACACACACGAAGGACACAGACTTTTCTCTTTCTCATCTTCATTTCTCCCTGTTTCTCTCTCTAGAACGTTTCTCTCTCTAGAAGTATTTGAAAAACAAACAAAGCAATGGCTGCTGAAGTTAGTTCTCTAATTCGTGTTCTTGGTGGAGGAGGATACAAAGAAGAACAGCATCGGACGGTGGGAAATGAATCTCACAGTGAGAAATCAACGGCTCTGATTACAAGAGACTTACTCGGTGGGTCCGGAAATGAATCCCAAGAATTAGATCTTGATTTACAGGTTCCTACTGGCTGGGAAAAACGTCTTGACCTTCAGGTTTGTTATAAACTTTCTAGCTTCTTTTTTGTTTTATTAATCCATAGACGAATCGGTAATAACCATAAAAAAATATAAACATCTAATCATGAATACTGGGTTCGAATCCTGGTGATAGCGTGTCAGATAATAATATCAAAGTGTAATTTTTTCTTTTAGGTGATTTTAAATTTTTTTATAAAATTAATTTTTCTTGCCTGAGAAGCAGATTTATGAACTATAAGAAAATCTTTATCAAAATATTTTGTTATTTAAAAAAAATGTTCTTGTAAAATAAGAGCAAAGTTAAAATTCTTTTTTGGTTTGGTTAAACTTTTGCATTTTAATGTAACAGCAGGTCTGCAGTTACTCTAATTATCGTTCCTGTACTCTATTTATTTTTCATAAATTTTATCATAAAGTCGAATTTATATTCTGCAGATTTTTTTATATGTAAGTTAATGATTATTATTAACTAACTATACTTCATTATACAATTCATGATTAATTTGCTAATTAATGTTAAATATTTTTTTCTCTATTTTTTTTCAGTCAGGGAAAGTGTACATTCAAAGGTGTAACACATTACCATCATCACCAATTTCTGAAATGAAACCAACAACTCCGAAATTCCAAGACCTAAATTTTCCATCAACACACCCAAATGTTGCATTGAATCTCTTCGATGAAACGAGTTTAGACCTGAAACTCGTTTCATCGACTTTACCATCAAACAATTACCAAAGTGTGTGCACACTTGACAAAGTGAAATCAGCTCTGGAAAGAGCTGAGAAAGAACCGTTAAGGAAAAGAGCATCGTTTTTGAAGTCATCGATTTCAACAACTTCGCCTTCGTCATATTCATCTTCTTCATCGTCGATTCGAGAGACAACAAATCATCAAGAGGAAGAACAAAGCGAGGAGAAAATGGTCTCGTCGCCTATGGCTGCAGGGTGTCCTGGTTGTTTGTCATATGTTTTGATAATGAAGAATAATCCTAAGTGTCCTAGGTGTAATTCTGTTGTTCCAATTCCAATCATGAAGAAACCTAGGATTGATCTTAATATTTCGATTTGATTAATGGTTAATTAAGGATAATTGGTAATTAATTATTACCTACATTTTTATTATAATTTTTCTTTTACTTTTTTGTAAAGTGAATGATAGATAAATTTAGGTGGTTTAAGGATAGGATCAATTTTAAGGGATGTTGGCCAGGATTTATGTATATTCAAAAGTTACTGCCGTTTACTAGACAATCTAATGGAAATTTTTTCTATTTCTATTTTATATTTTGATACTTTCTCTGATTTTTATTATAATTTTTTAAATTTTTTTAATAATTTGTTTAATTGACTTATATATAATTTAATTTATACTAGTTATTTAAATTATTTTTTTTGTAAAATTAGAATAATTTTCAAAATTTATATATATAAATTCAAAAATTAAATTTTAATCGAGTAAATATAGTTTAAAAATCATACTAAACGTTATGATGTACGATTAATATTTATTTTTGTTTGTCTTTCGTTTTGTATTTTGTATTAAAAGATTTTTAGCATGACAAATAATTTTCTCTAAATATTATATGTTTTTCTGGTTTAAGTAGTGATTTTCAAGATTTTTTTAGAATAATTAATTTTTCAACTTAATTTTCAAATTAATCATTTTTTTAACTTAACTATATATAAAACTATCTATATTTAAATAAAAAATTTGTAAAATAACATGCGCCAGGCCAGATCAATTGACGCATAGGTATGAGTGTTATATGTCACTTTAGATGCTTCATGTTACTAGTTTTTTATTTATTTATAAATTTAGATAGTTTGATACATAGTTGAGAAAAATGGTTATTTTAAAATTTATGTTCAGAAATATGATTATTTTAAAATAGAATTTTATTTTTAAAATATTATTTTATATATTTTAACATTTTATTGTAATTTTTTTAATATCAAAATTTTAAAAAATTATTTAAATTTGAAACTATTTCATAGTTTTTCATAAAAATTAGCTGAGATAAAAAAATTTATAAAAAAAAACTGTCATTCTAACTATGTATTAATCATTATTTATGTTATACTTATGTCAAAAATAAGTTTTTTTTTCAATTTATAAAAGACAAATTTAACAAAAGTTTTAATATTTTTAAAAATAAAAAGTATAAGAATTTATTAAAGAATAAATAAGTTATAAAGTACCCTAATATAAAATAGCCTAAATTGCAAATTGCTTAGCAAAAAGTCATAAAGTATAGTAATTGTTTACAACTTTTCTAAAAATAAATAAGTTAAAACATGTTAACATTCTTTGTATTTAATGTTATGTGCTTTTTTTTTATAATTTCAACTATTCTATATATAGTATGAAACTTCATATTTTCAATCTCGAAATAATAATAATTTATTAGTACTAAAAATACAATTTAATTGGTAGTTATAATTAGTAAAATAGGGTCTTAAATTTGCTTACTAATTCTTTCATAGAAAAATAAAATTTGCTTACTAATTCTTTGTGTGGAGTATATTGAAAGAGTAGTGTATTTGTATAAAAGTTGAAATTAAAAATCTCATTAATTGACATTTACATTTCAATTGTTTTTATTGCTACCTACAATTTTTATTGCTACTTACAATAGAATTTATGAAGTTTTATTGAGACTCTTTAGTTTTGGGACACATTCCAAGTCCAGATATAAATGCTTTAACATGTGTATTAATCAATTACAATTTTTTTTTCTTCATAGCATTAATGAATAACGTTATGGGTCTAGAAATGTGTCCACATTTAACTTTGATTATCTTCTATTAAATGTTTGAAATTATTTAAACGCGGAAGTTTAATTGTTATTTAAAGTTTTGATTTGACTAAATTTTGTTTTAAAACAATTGATTGAGAAATGTTTAAAAGGGGAGTGTCATTTAAGTAAATTACGGTAGTTAATTTTTTTAATATAATTACAATAAATAAATAATATTATCAAAATTTTATTTTTCTATCTCAAAAAATTTAATATTTGAGCCGTGTATTATTCCTAAAAAAAATAATAGATATGTTGATTTTCATAATATAATCAATATATTTTTTTTAAAATAAAAAATTATATATTTCAAAAGACAAAGAATATACAAGGCGATCGCTCAGGATCCAACCCAAACCCAAAAAACCGAAACCAAACAAACTATTACAATAAGAATTTTGCTATAAGGGGCTTATATCTAGGTTTACTCCACCCTCTATAAATAATACTATCTATTATATCTTTTGTCACTCTCTTATTATCTTTATTATTTTCAAAGATCACGACATTACGGTAACGCCAAACTCCATAAATCATCTCAGCTACCGCCATCTTGATTAATCCCGCATATCTCCCTTTTCCTTTAGTTTGGCTCAAATTCCAGCATAATACATCCTTCCAGCATTGAGGATTATGGACAATACCTAACCAACTCAAAACCTCTTTTCAAATCATCTTTAATTCTCTGCAATAAAAAAGAAGGTGATCTTGACTCTCATCAGCCAGACCATAGATTTTGTAAATACTATCATGCAGCAGACCCCATTTCATAAGACTTGCTTTAGTTGAAAACCGACCTTGACAAGCAAGCTAGCAATAAACCACTGCTCGCAGCCTAGCATTATTGTGCCTGACCAAATGACTCTAATCATTTCTAATATGATCTTCCACCAACAACAAATAGATTTTTCTCATTGAAAACTTTTTGCTCCTCATCATATCATCCCAACTTTGTTGAATCTGATTAACTATATTTCTATTTATCATTATGTGCTTCAGGATCCAAGAATAATTGGTTCTAATCATAACATCCATCACATCTTCCCCCTTCAGGTAGTAAGCATGCACCCATTTTACCCACAAGTTATCAATCTTTTGGAAAATATTCCATAGGCATCCCAGCAGGATCAGATTGTTCCATATCTCAAGATTAAGCATATTCAGACCCCCTTCGATGACAAGCCTACAGACCTTAAACCAATCAACAGGGATTTTCCTGCTCTTATCAAACTTACCAGACCAAATAAAAGTCCTACACATTGCATTTATCTTGTGAATGGCTCCTTTAGGAATAGGAAAACAGTTCATCCAATACTGAGTTATTGCCACAATGATGCTCTTAACCAACTGTAACCTACCTAATATACTCAACAACTTAGCATACTAATGCTTCATTTTGTCTAATATATTATCCACCAAAGGCAAATAATGATTCAAGCTCAACTTTTTACAAGTTAGGGGCACTCTTAAATATTTCACTAGAAAAAGACCCTCTTCAAAACCAGACAAGTTCTTCACTTCTTGAATGCTACTAGTATCCATACCTCCGCAAAAGATTTTACACTTACTAGGATTTATGTTAAGACCAGTAGACTTAGAAAAAGTTTTGAAAGCTCAAAGAATCAACTCAATAGATTTAGGGCCACCTCTACTAAATAACAAAACATTATCAGCAAAAGATAAATAGGTTAAACCAAGCCTCTCACACTTACTATGATGGTTGAAATTAGGGTTCTGCTGCATCCTGACCATAACTTTATTCATGTACTTCATCATTATGACAAACAACGTAGGGGATATGGGGTCCCCTTGTCTGATGCCTCTTTGAGCTTGCAAAACATCATAAAGGTCACCATTAATATTGAACCTATAATTGACTCTTGAGGTTATAGTAACTATTCATCCAACAAACTTATTAGGAAGGCCAATCTCATGCAAGATACACGCTAAAGCATGTCAGTCCACCATATCATAAGCCTTCTGCATGTTTAATTGCATCATGCATCTTGGGGTCCCCCTTCCTAGAATGCCCTTTCAACAACTCAAAAGCTAGCAGAATATGATTGTGAATGACCTGACCAGGCACAAAAGTTGCTTGGCTTTTATGGATGACAGTCTGCAGGATCTTCCCCGATCTAATAGTCAGGATTTTGGAAATAATTTTATAAAAAGTTGTACAACCTGCTATTGGTCTATAGTCTTTCATAGTTTTGGCATTTTTTCTCTTAGGAATGAGAGTAACAATAGTGCTATTAAAAGCTCCATACAAATTCCCCTTCTCAAAGAACTCCTCAATAGCAGACACTGAAGGTGAGAAAAACACTTAGAAGGGGGGGGGGGTTAAATAAGGGTTTTAAAACAACTTAGGTGATAGAAAAATAACACAATATTTTTATCCTGGTTCGTTTGAACTCAAACTAATCCAGTCCACCCTACCAAGGTGATTTGCCTTTCTCAACAAGGACTTAATCCACTATATCAAACTTGATTACAGTGTAAACCACTAAGACAATTGTCTTAGTCTTCTCAAGAAATTTTGACCGCAACTTGGTCTTCTTAAGAAAATCTTTTACAAAGATAAACTAACAATTTGTGTTTAAGATGTGCTTCTAAAAAGCTATGTCACAACAGTGATTTTTACACAAGTTTATAGAACGAAAATGAAAACTATTTCAGCTTGAAGAATATTTGAATGAGCGCTTGAATAATTTGTCAATAGTTCCCTCAACCTTTGAAGTGATGCTAATGCTTGATTTTATAGTACTTTGAAATCCTTTTTGTCAAAGACTGTGCAATCTGTGCATTCTGTTCTTTTTGTCTTCTATTGACTTTTCCTTTCTTAGATGAGGAATGTTCTGACAAATCCTTTTTGTCTGAAATCCTGTGTCATGCACGAATGGGGAAAGAGCTGTTTAGGATAATACCAAAGAATATGCCAACGGATCTTTATTTGAACAACATCTTCTTCAACAACTTTGGACCGCCTTGCATCAGAACTTCTGATAATGTTCTTAGTTGTTCAGGTCAGAGTTAACTCACTCAGAGTTTCTCTATCAGAGTTATCAGAGTTTGCAGCCATGTGCTTTAAGCGTGAAATCCTTATCAGAGCATACTTTCTTATCAGAACTTTTGTACTTGCAGCGTTGAGTACTTTCAAAGTCTTCTGAAGCTTTACGTATGCTCTTTGCTCAGATTCTTCTTAGCTTCGCTCAGAGTCATTGTAGCAGATCAGAGTCTTCTGATGACTTGCTTCTGACACTCAGAGCTTTCT